AATGTAGCTGAAAAAATCCTAATAAAAACAAAACACAAGAAGGATTTCTCTACTTTGGCACTACTGACATTTGAGGAAAGACAATTATTTGTTCTGGGGGCTAAGCTGTGTACTACAGCATACAGCATCTTTGACCTCTTCCCACTAGATGCCAAAAGTACAGCCTGCCCATCACCACCATTGTGACAACCAAAAATTGTCTTCAGGTATTGCAAAATGACCTCCCCCAGCTGAGAATTACTGCCTTCCAGGTTAATTCATCAGTACTGACATCCTAAAATGGCTCCAGTAATGGAATTTTGGAACTCAGCATGGGAAGTTTGTATGCAAAGAAGCAGATAGTAAATATTTTAGGCTTTGTGAGCCACCTACAGACCCTGCTGCATAGCCTTCTTTGTTTTATATTTTTAAAATCTTTTAAAAATGTAAAAGCATTTAAGTTCAAAACTAGGCTTGAATTTACTGAACTTAGTTGTTTTTTGTTTTTGTTTTTGGTACTGAGAATTGATCCCAGGGGCTCTTTACCACTGAGCATCATCCTCAGCCCTTTTTATTTTATTTTGAGGCAGGGTCTTGCTAGGTTGCTTAGGTGCTGAACTTAGATTGTAAAGGAAGAAATGATGAATTGCCATAATAATTGAAAGTGTTCAGATAGTTTTTGGAAATATTAGGATCTTAATGTAGCTACCAGGTTTTCGTGACCCTTAGCTAGCAGTTATGCTGTCCTACTTGGAAAGCCTGATTTAAATAACTCCAAGTTAAATTCTATTAATATTGTTTACCATTTGATTCTATTTAATGTATTTAAATGTAAAGGACAAATAAAACAGACTTGATATTTGAACAGACATGGAAGAACATCTGCTTAGTAAGGATGTATCCTTCCCTTGGTTTGGGAGTAAACATCCTCTGAAGAAGGCATTGAACAAAGGAAATGTTCCTACCCAATTTTAAAACCAAATTATGTTTTGATATGCCAATAGATATTATCAAGGAATGGAAAATGGTGTCTTGGTAAAAAAAAAAAAAGCCTAAAAGTTGCCAGTAAAACTGTAAAAATAAAAATGTCATTTTGAAAATATATTTTAAAGTAGTTTCTAGATAATTTTATTTAATCATCACATAAATGTTTTAGCAAACTAGGGAAGGTCCACTCAACAAGTATTTATTGACTATCTGCCAGGGACTTTTTGATGCACTGGACTTGAATCCACTTGAACCCTGCTAAAGAAAAACATGCCTATAGGAAACAGCTATGTTCAAACATCCAATGATTTTTTTTCCAGTAAATATTCTTTCTATCTTGTATATAGCTAATTACAAATATCTAATGCTTTACTTTGAGCATCTGAAATTTCTATATGTAGAATTTATTGACATCAGACAAAATGATGAAAATATACTTATCATCCAATGATCACTGAAAGAACCGTAGTGTGGGATGGGATACAAGACTTGGGTCAAATATATTTAACTTGGGTAACAAAAATGTACATTTTAATTCATTCAAGTAGTTTATCATATGAAAGGCAGAGAATTATAGTGAAAAAAAGCACTAGGCTTGGAGTCCAAAACCCTGTATCACTGTCCTGGTTGTGTCCTTGTGTTTTTTCCATGGATAAGTCAGTTCACTTCTAAGGAATGCTTTTCTCATCTATAAAATGAGATAATGACACTTTTCCAAGTATATTACATCTAAACATACTATATGTTTATAATCTAAAAAGTAATATAAAGGTGATAATATAAGCATAAGGAGTTAGCTACACCAATACTTTACATATATGATTCTGGGATAAATCAAATATTGTCTTGGTTATAACCCAGATCAATTATAAATGTAATCTTGTATTTCATGTTAACTGATTATGAAAAAATATCCATAAAGCTTGTGAGGCCCTACTCTGAAATTTGCTATGACATGAACCCTGTGGATTTTCTGTTAAAAATATAATGACCCAAACTTAATTTTCTAGTGAAATGAAGACTTTGAAGATCAACACTTATTGAAAGAGGTTTAGAAATTAATAGTTGAACCCTTACCCTTACCCTTAGGTTCCATCCATTTTGCCCAAAATTACATCTTTGCTCCGAAATCTTCAGAGGAAACCATTGCTAGGGAGAGTGAATTCCCTCATAGTATGAGGTCAAATTCTAGATTGTAGAATCAGAGTATAATTGTGTTACTTGAACAAATTTGAGAATACACCTTTGAACCAGATCACTAGGATTTTCAAATAGATTTTTTCTGTGATATTCTCAATTACATTTATAAAAAGTCAACTTGCTTTTTTTTTCATTTTCTGTCATTACCCCGCCCCCCAGTCTATTTTAGGTCATCAAGTAGCCAAGAAGGGTAGGTTCGATGTATAGGTTCAACCCCAAAACATTGTGAGAGGAACATTATCTGTGAAGTACCCTACACAGCCCTATAAGTTTCTTCCTCTGATTTGGTAGTCCCGAGAAAGCTCCCAAGCCCTGCTTATGTTCTGACCATTTCATTTTATTTCAAATGTGATGCCACAAAACAGTCAGAGATTGCTGGGTTTTGTGTAGTGTTAATTGTTGGTTTTGTCCTTGATGCCAGCAACAAAGTTTCAGAATAACACTAGTAATGCAGTAGCAATGACTCTTTCACTCCTAACACTTTTTGTAAAGGACAAGTCATCGTGTTTCCAAATGGAAAATAAAAGAGAAAAAAATAAGTGCTTACTCCCACACTTTACATTACCATGACTACTGAAGGTCCATTTTCCTATCCCCCTGTTCTATACCTACCAAAAATAGGGGTTGGAAGTAGAAAGAAAAATGCATATTTTGAAGGCAGTTCCCTGGGTTCATAAGTATGGGTTTTTATAAACTGTATGAACTCATTTGACCACAGAGCCATTGGCTAGAATTGAGTACTGACTGCTATTTGCCTTGATTTTGATTTTATCAAGACATCTAGAACATGAAAAATGCACCTCATTTCTTAAAACAGTCCACTGACTCGACCACCGTCCTTTAAAGTTGCCTTTTATACAAGGAGGAAAAGCCAGCTTCACTCTATCTAGTCTCAACCTTCTCTTATAATAAGCTTTTCTTTCCTGAACTGATCAAAATTAAATAGGGAGAAAGAATCCAGTTGAAAAAAAGATTTGATATGCCTGTTGATGTCTCATTAACCTTGAGAATGAATGTGACTGGTGACTGCCTGTCACAGTGGCGTGATGGTTTGTTAGGGGGGGAAAAGCCAATGGAAGCATCTCAGGGAAAAAAATACAAAGAGAAACATCACTTAGTAGATCATTGATCAAAAAATGGGTCATTTCCAACTGTCAGAACTGGCTAAATTACAGTTTCCTTTAGCCTGTGATGAATCTACTACATATTTCTTGGGAGAGCATTTGGAGCAGTATTTATCTGTGTGTCAAAATATGTTCATTGAAGTACTGCAAAAAAACCTACTCTGATGTTGAAAGTATAATCATGAGAAAAGCAAACATCTCAGGATTAATGTTAATAAGGTTCTGCTTTAAGTGAATGTGTGTGATGATTTTTGTGCCATTAAAAATATCATGAACCACTCAATGTGGAAGGTGCTAATTCTATGGAGTCCCCAGCCAGATTCTTCTCTCTACTAATTGCTGATTGATAATGTGTTAACAGGGGAAGGAAACAATAGAGGAAAATTAGCTTTTCTCTTAGGGATAAGCAGTTACCTGGAGAGGAAAAGAGGTAGATAGTGTTCCCTAGGTTCACTAGCAGTCTCTCCTTGGGATAAGTGGACTAAAAATCTGACTGGCTTCTAGTCTCAGATCTGGACCAGAGACCCACACAAAAGCAGCATCTTCCATCTTTGGCACAGAATCACATCTGGGACTGGTTCCTGTCTGCCCTCCCCAGAGGAGAACTTGAAGTAAACAAACCTCACAATCCCCAGGGATTCAGATGGAACATTCTCACCTGTTTTGGCTTTTGTTCCTCAAGGTTTCTACTTTTCCATGTATAGTGCTGACTCCTCTGCTTTTCTTAGGAACTTCTTGAAAGTTACCACAATTAACCTTACTTTTCACATCAGATTCCCACCTCGGGTTGGGCTGATGGCACAACGGATTTCTGTGTCACCCTCTAACCAGCTGCTCCGTTTCCTGTGCTCTTCTCAGAGCCACACAACCAGGCTGCTGCCCTTAGCCTTCTGCCTGTGCCCCTTACCCCGACCCGACGCTCAAATGCACACAAATACAAGTAGATCGATTGTTTTCCTCTTTTCCCAAGGAAGTTTTTGCATTTCAGAGGAGTGGAGCTACTGTGAAAAACGAAATAACTGCAAATTACAAACATCATTTCCTATCCCCTAATACAGATATGGCTACCTTGCTCCGGGAGGAGAGGGCAGCAGGGCAGCTCCCGTCCTCGCCTGAGACCGCACTTTTTTTTCTGGGTGGGAGGCATTTTCTCACCAGCCCGCTTCAAATTTCTCTGCCCCTCCCAATCCCCCTCCAGCAGCCTTTCCCAAAACACTTCAGGATTAGAGGAAAGGAGGAAAAAAAAAAAACTGAGGATAGGGGTGAGGTGTCTCTAAATCCCATCCTACCCCCCCACCCCCCGCCGCCGCCAAACAGACTATTTTGTTGTCAAGTAGCAAGACTTTTTTGAATGTCTTCTCATTCGTTCAGCTGCTCCTTGGCCCAGTTACTCCAAAACCTCCCTGCCCCCAAGCCCGCTGTGACCAAAACAAGCGCACCGACCACAGCACCGTGGCCGCCGCCGCCGCCGCCCCAACTGTTGCAGCAGCTGTGGGGTGGCCGCATAGGGCCGGGCCCGGACCCCGATGTTCCCTATCGGGTAGGCTGGGAGGCTCCAAGCGGCCGCCTTGGGGCAGGCAGTGCAGGGGAGCCCCTGCACCAACCGCCTGGGATAGGAGAGGCGGCGCTCTCAGCTGGGACCCCGCGCAGTGCCAGCCTAGCCGCGACAGCGGCGCCGGAGGAGGCTGCCTGCACCCGTCCCCCTCTCACCTTTAAGATCAGGTCGGTGTGATGCTGGTCCAGCATGTTGGCTTTCTGGAAGGAGGTGACGATGACCCGGCCGTAGCGCCCAGGGGTCTGCAGGTCCGAGTAGAGCCGGTGCTTGGAGCGGTTGACCGGGAAGAGGCTGTTGACGAGGTTGCGCTCGATCTTGGCTAGGCTGTGCTGGGGCGCCAGCAGGTGCTCCACGCTTTCTTCGACCTGGTAGCGGCTGAAGCTGGCGCCGAGCAGGATGGAGATGAGCACCGGCGCCGAGGCGAAGAAGACCGGGTGACTGGCAATGAAGTGGCCGAGCCGGGAGAAACACGTCCTCAAGCCCCTGTGCAGAACCTGCCGCAGCATCCTAGAGCAGAGCGGGCGCGGGAGGAGGGCGAGGCGCACGC